TCCTGGCATTACCGAAGTGGGGGCAATTTGATTGGTTTGAACTTCTTCCACTGCCTCTCTTTTGTGTTTCTCACCAACTCTCACCCTATTAAACCGCCAGTACCTCACACACACAAATGAGAGTCAATATTGCAACGCTCTGGGTTCTTCCCATGAACAGTGCTACCAGACCAAAATGGTTGGCCGCACCAGGCCGGGAAAAAAAGTCAATTTTTTGGGGCGCGCAATTGGAATGTGCCTCAGCAAAAAGAGTCTCAGAGGCTATCTTCGTTTTCAGTGTGATTTTAGAGTCAGCTGCAAGCGCCATTGTCTCTACCACAATCACTACAATGCAAGGGGGTTTGCCAGCGCGTCTTCAGAGGGCTGTTCCTCATTTCCTGACTGCATGCGCCCTCCGTATCTAAAGATTATATGTCCATTTTGCGGCCATGGATGTATAATCAGTGCATGGTTTTCTGTGATGCCCGGTTTTCCATCATGTCATTACGTAACCGACATGCCATTTGCCGGGAGTGTTTGGTGGGCATGCTTAAAACAGCAGCCCATCTGCAATGAACCTCCTAGTTCAACACCAGTGAGTGCACATATTCACACCACATGCATGTATGAGTTCAAACGAAATTCACACTGGAGACCAGAGAGATGAAGACCAGGTAGCGCAGCTTATCTTTTCCAGAAAGTATTACAAGAGCAATAAGAGTTCAAGTCACCAGCGCTCATCAGCGCGTGCCAATAGATAACCAATAATCAGCATAAACTCTCAGGTAAGTATCTCTTTTCCTCTGCTCTTCCCTCTTATGTATCTATCCACCTTGCTGGTCTTCTCCCTAGCTATGACCTCGCTGTGTCTTCTCTCCCTACAAGCATTCACTCTCACTATCTACTACTTCATGGATCTACTCTGAATACACCCACTGCAACTCTTCTAACCCCTCTGGAGTCTACTACTAACAACTAGCACTAACACTTCTGCACTGGTGCAGCTATGGCTGCCTTCTTCCTGCCAGCGCTATCTTCCTCTCTCTCTCTCCCTCCTTGCGCAGCACTCTGGCTTCAGCGCTCTGCCCCTCACATAAGCGCACAAGTGCACCAGCACTTGCACACTCTTTGCAAATGAGCAATCTGCCCGAATGCGAGGCTGGCCAGTCTTTTTGTAGTCTTGGTTTGCACTTCAACTCGTGCCAACCTCTGTTTCTTGGGTCCTGACTGTTTCTGGTACCACATCCCCACGGCCTATCTGCTTCTGAATGTCAAGGCCTGGAACCTTCCCGAATTTCCGTTGGACTGCTGCTGCTTGGGCCTTTGAGTCATGACTTTTCACTTGTGAACATGACTTTTGACTGTGGACAGTGAGTGACTCCTGCCTGTGGGTCACGACTTTTGCCTGTGATACTGCCTTTTACTCATGGGATGTGACTCTTCAATATGACTTTTCATTAGGAAACGTGACTCCTGCCTTTGAGACATGACTCTTGCTTGGTGAATCTGCCTGTCACTCGTGGGATGTGACTCTTCTGAATGGCTTTTTATTATGAGCCATGACTCTTGTCCCTGAGACGTGACTGTTTGCTGGGTGTCTGTTGGACCAGACGCTGAGGTACCCGATTGTGACTTTCCTGAGTTTGACGAATTCAGCCTTTTCTTGACCTGGGCATCTGACCCTGAGATCCGAGTTTGGGGTCTGAATCGTGGAAGGCCTTTCGCATCTTCCCTTTCACTGTACATTTTTCTCGGGAACATATACTGTAGCTAAATCTACAGTGACGAGGCATGGCATAGGTTCGGAGGGACTGGGCCAATGGGCCCCTGAAAGTACACGAAAGGCCTACGGAGTTCGTGGGCAGGCAGCACATGTGAAGACACACTGCCTGCAAGCTCTTTGTCAGTTCTGGTACAGCCAGAATCCCCGAACAAATCGCACCCTCAATTTGGCTCCACTGGACCAAAAAGATGACTTGTGTACACTCATTATCAGGGTACGTCGTGTCAGCGTGGAGCGTGCGCACTCTCTCTCTCACTCACTCAGTGCGTGATGATTCATCTGTGCGCTAGACGAGAGATGTTTTGTGTATTTTTTATCGTTGGTTTCATTAGGTGCGCTCCTTTAGTTGATAGATATGTGACAAATTGACAATATATATCACTGCTGTACGTACCGTGATATCAGCAGGAAGGAATGTTCATAGATTTCAGCTCTTTGTTCAGTTGTGAGGCCCCCTATGAATGTATCCTTTCAGTGGGAATGTGTCTTGTTTCATGATGTATATTAGAGGAAATGCGTGTGATGAACCCATCATCTCAATTGGTTGATTGTTTATTGGAAAAAGGGAAAAGTGGAAACGGATTTAAACAGCACGAAATGTGTGTGTGTGTGTGTGTGTGTGTGTGTGTGTGTGCAGTCCCACTTTCAGCTTGCTTTAAACATCGAGTGGGAGTGTTTAGTTGAGACTTGGGTAGTACTGCTTTGGCGCAAGCTTGGACCTTTGAGGTAGTAATGCGCTGTAACAGTACAGGTTGCTGGCTACATTGGGTGATACATTGGGTGCAAAGCATTGTGTGGAATGGAACTCGATTCTCGGTTTGACCAAGTGTTAAGGCCTTCTTGATGTGTGCTGTCCCTTTTGTGGGAACTGTACCAGATTGCGGTTGCACTGGCAGTTGCAGCGATACCAGAAGGCTTGCCTGCTGTTGTCACCACGTAAGCTCATTTCTGCCTCCCCCGGCCTTTTGTTGTCCCTTTCTCCTGTGTGCGAACTTTTGTTTGCTAGTACGTGCAGCAGAGCCTCTTTCCCCTCTTTCTCATGCAGTGCAACCCTAAACCTCTGCTCCAGTTTATTGTGGGATACAGCACTGTAGTCAAACTACCCCAGTTGGTTTTCGATGATCTATCACGGCTCCCGCGCATGACTTCTATGTGGAGGGTCCGTCACAGGCTTTGTCAACAGGCACAAGGAGGATCTTTATGACCTTGTCAGAGAGAGATCGAGACGAAGGAAAACATAAGGAGTAGGGTTTTGAGGGTGATTTGGAAAAGCAACTGGCTGACCTCCTTATGAACCGTCTTCCTCTTGGGCCTGGCAGACAAAGAATAGGATCCAGCCACAAGACAAAGACAGGATAGAAAGTTTCAGGGGAAAGAGTAACAGGTGTTGGGAGAATAAGGTAAATGAAAAGGGTGGCAATTTCTCTTTCAGTAATGGGGGGCAGATACTGCGAGGGGTAGCGTTAGATGGGTCAGGAGGACCATAGGAGAGGGGGGTGTGTATACTTAATCTCCAAGCTCAGGCCACTGAGGTAAGTTTGTTCTTGGATCTTGGATTCAATGCAGTTGAATTAGTTTGCTGTCGCACACACTGGAAGCAGAGGTGGCCATCAGGCGATGACTTATAAGGATGATAATGGAATTGGTAGACTTCTTTTTTCGTCTTACAAGCCAGGAAACGGTCGCGACATCCCTCGACCAAACAGTTGTCGTGCTCCCCATCGAGGATGGCGTAACCGACCAGGTAGACTATTGGATTAGCTCAAAATGGAAACAAACTTTAACAAAGAGTTTTTTTTGTCTTTCAGAAAAGGAAAAATTAATTGAAGAAGTATCGCCTTAGGGTTATGGCTCCTTTCCATTCCGGGGGAGTAGAAGTCCTGATCCTTTTCTTTAATTAAATGTGGTCTGACTGTGGATCAGATGTCGAACTGATGAGAACAGTTGGTAAACCTGATCTTAGTCAAAAGGCTGAGAAAGGCATTCTGGCAAGTCGTCAAAGATTTACGAAGATGATGCACACTCTTCTCCTCACTACGGCTAGCAGCTTGCTAGGTTTATTGCATCGCAATTCCAACTGGATATCCATAATGCTGGGAAAAAGAAAATCCAACAAACACTGAAGCAATGAGCTGTTTTTTTTTTTTCTTCGATTAAAATAAAAACAAATTCGGATTACCAAACAAACAAATTCGGATTACCAAACAAATACCAGCAAGAGATCCGAAACCCCACCAATAGCCGAAATTGCTAGGATTTGGATGATCAACCGAATGATTGTTGTATGTAGAAAATATAGGTGCAGTGGATACTATTGTGGGAGGATCAGCAAGTGCAACCTGTTTGAGTAAGGTGTCCCAAGAAGCGAGTAACGGAATGGCTCTTAAACCACCAGTACATGGCCCAGCCAAGTTGAGAATCGCGATTGAGCCTCGCCTAAAATGTCGGAGGTTTGGGACAGGGCATCTGAAGGACCAGTAAAAAACAAAAATCCCATTCCGTGGGGTGGCACTATGCCTGGGCCCGAACAAAAAAAAAGATTTTGCCTGCCCCCAGGCGGGCTCTGTCTCGAGTCCCTGGACAGGGCATGCCTGGGGGCGGACGAAATCTTTCTTTTGTTCGGGGCTGGGCATAGTGCCACCCCACGGAATGGGACATTTTTTTTTTACTGGTCCTTGTCGCGACCCTCCTCCTGGTGGCATGGGAGAATCAGCAAGTCCGGTCTGTTTGGGTAAGGTTTCTGCAAGAAGTGAGGGAACAAATGGCTCATACAAGACAGGAGGAGGCGGAAGAGAAGATGGTTCGTTCCTTTGATTTCCATCAAAGGATAGTAGTGCATGCACTGCCGAAGGCCTCATACATGTGGCATGGGGGGATTAGCTAGGGCGATCTGTTTGAGTAAGGTGTCCGCAAGAAGTGAGTAAACCAATGGCTCATAAAAGACAGGAGGCGGCGGACGAGAAGGTGGTTTCAACCAAGAGTAATGCCTGCACTTTAGAAGGCCTCATACATGTGGCATGGTATGCTCAAGTTAGGGTGATCTGTAGATTGTAGAGTATGCTGTAGCGTTATCTTGATTATCCGCTGCCCGTACCTGCCTTGTGGCTGAATGGTGGATGCATGTGACTGTTGATAAACAGATCATGAGCTCAAGTCCCGAGGTATTCAATAAAGCTACCGGTAGGAGCTCACCCCCTTCTATGGGGGGGGATGAAGGCATCGAATGCCGGTCTTGGGGTCTGTACTCCCAAGTCTTCTCTGGTGCTCCTTTTTGTCTACAATGTCACTACATATCTCCAGGGCAATCAAGAAACTAGCCTTCAGAAATCAGCAAGTTATTTTTCTGGAGATATGCTTTAGCCATTGCTCTCATGTCCTTGCCGTGTGCAGTTTGTTGTGTCAAAGCATCATATATGCCAATGTTTTGATAACCGGAGCTCCCTAGTGAAAGGATATGAGAGTTGTGATCATTCTTTTTCGTTCTTCCTCTATAGTTTGTTCGGTCTGTCTGTCAGTTTGGCAAGTCGGCGCTGTATCTGGGCTGGATCTGTATCTGGAAAGTTGGCACTGTATCTGGACTGAATCTGTGTTTGAAATCAGAACCAGCAGGCATTTTAGCATATGTTGTCTTGGATCTGTATCTGGCAAGTTGACGCTGTATCTGGACTCTATCTGTGTTTGCAATCAGAACCAGCAGGCATTTCACCATATGTTGTCTTGGATCTGTATCTGGCAAGTTGACGCTGTATCTGGACTGCATCTGTGTTTGAAATCAGAACCAGCAAAAATTTTACCATATGTTGTCTTGGATCTTTGTCTGGAAAGTTGACGCTGTATCTGGACTGCATCTGTGTTTGAAATCAGAACCAGCAGGCACTTAACCATACGTTGTCCTCTTGCCATTCATTGTACCATAATATGGTCGTGGAACGCGAAGCAAGACTGCCGAAAGCACCGCCAAAAGTTTTTTTAAAGAGCACTTTCTCTTCCCTGAGATGTTCGTGTCGTGATTGTTTCCAGAGCCTTGATCTTCACTTTTGGTTCCTTTCCCTTTTTCCTTTTTTTGGGGGGCGGGGGAAATGGTCCTTTTTTTATTGGTGGGCAGCACCGGGCATGGGAATTTTAAAACATACATGATTAGTTACGTGATGATTGTCAGTTTTTGTAAGGACTGACGGAGCAAGCTTGTGGATGTTCGTCCTAGAACGGGTTTACAAATGTCAATTCTTTGAGCTGATGGTGCGTTCTGTGGGGCTGCGTCCGTTCTGTACGCAAAGTTGTCTTGCGTTAGGAACCCGGAAGATGGCTAAGCTGCATGCAATAGTTCGAACCCTCCCTTCTGTTGAGACGCTCGGGTGCACCACGGTAATCTGCAGCGACAAGACAGGGACAATAACTACAAACATGATGTCAGTGGCAAAGGTAGGTAGGTGGCTTTCGATGGTAGCAGCAGTTATGGATCCGTGCATCTGGGCCTAAGCCGCCCCTGTGCATGCACAGAATAGATCCGGCACCCTTGGCCACAAGAGTCAAGATCAGGCTTGGAATACGAATCTATATGCATGTCATGAAGAAGCTCAGAATGTTGAATCAATGCCGTTTTTTTTTCCCTGCAAATATGAAGGGCCCAGAAGGGGGGGTGGGGAGAGGGGGGAAGGGGAGAGAACACTTTTCTCTAGAAAATTAGAAAGGTGTGTAAGAATGCTTTTCTCTAGAAACTTAGAAAGGTGTGTAAGAATGCTTTTCTCTAGAAACTTAGAAAGGTGTGTAAGGTGTGAAAGGTCCTTAGAATGAAAAAGGAGCCAGGACCATAAGGTTCTGTTTTTGCAAAAAAAAAAAAAAGGAAGAAAAAGAAAAGAAAGGTGTGTAAGGCAAGCCCTGCTATGAACTGGTGCTGGTAAATTGATTTTGTTTCTCAGGGGTCCTCTCTTCTTTTCGACTCTTTTGTGTTCGTGTTTTGCTCTCGCAACTTTTCAATGACCTGAAAAGCGCGCGTGTTTTGTACGCAGTGCTGCTACCCCAAACAGGGAATGACTAAGCAGCTGTAGTTGCACCAGTTTTGCTTGGTCCATGACACAACACAGTATGGCTCCATTTTGAAATGGAAACTTCGAAAGTTCATAGTGGCTTGATTGCTGCTGAATGTAGTTGCACCAGTTTTGCTTGGTCCATGACACAACACAGTATGGCTCCATTTTGAAATAGAAATTTCGAAAGTTAATAGTGGCTTGATTGCTGCTGAATGCAATTCTCTTTTACACCCTCCTCCCGCTGCCCAGCCACCCTCTTTTCCTCACAACTCCACTGGCCTCACGCCTTCTCCCCACATCTACCCCCCCCCCCCCCCCCCCCCCCAACCCCCCCCCAACCACCACCGGTTTCTCAAGGTTGGTATGTGTTTTTCAAGGTTGCAATTCTCTCACTTACATCCCTCGTCTGTTGACCAGAACTTCAATTGCGACCTTGGAAAAAAGGAAAAGAAAGAAACGATACGAACAAACTGTTCCTCTATCGCCAATCGGTTCTTTCGAGTATCGCATGGCAGTTCTCTCTTACATCCCCCGTCCTTTCCCCGCAACTCGACCTGCAACCTTGTTGGAAAAAAGGAAAAGAAAGGAACTGCAAGGAAGATGAGCAATAGCGAACTTCAGCAATCAAACAGCATCATACATATGAGTCCAGATATTTGTGACCTCGAACCAACAGCAGAATTTCATCACGAGATTCACCAAATAAGAACACACCAAGAGTTCATAATTGACAATGCTGAAATAGTCCCATCAATGCCATCATCATCAACGAAGAACCAGAGTTGATATCCTATCTGGCGCTCGGCGCCCAGACTACATGTGGCAGATCCTATCTAGCCTACACTACGATGCCGAAAGATGACGTCAATAGCTTTCCCGAACTACGAGCATACAGCGACCAGCGTCGCACGCTTCCAGCACCAGGTATGTCTCTCGCCACACTCACAACCTCGTTCCCCAACACACAGATGCCACTAGCACCCAAGGACCACCCTGCGCCTCACCCAGCTTACAGCAGCGCAGCTCGGCTATGGCAGCGTGCTCCTTCCCTGCTCGCCCGTGAGCGCGTAGGCGCCAGCCAGCAAATAGCGCAGCAGCGCTTGCGCAGCATGCAGCCAGCACCCGAATGCCGAATACGGAGGCAGGCCCTTTGCTATATCGAAGTGGCCTGCCTGCGTCCAGTCCCAGGAAGTTTCCAGTAGGCCCCGGTAGCCTGAGGCCCAGCGCGATGAAAACAGGCCTTGGGCCTGAGGTGGTTGCATATGCCCAACTGCCTTTGGCCTGTGTTTGGCCCAGTACCCGTATCCATCCCAGGGCCTGCTTCACATACATTCACACAGGCGGCCCAGGGCCTGGGTTCACTCAACCAACTGGCGCTGCGCAACTACCTGAATTTCCTTGAGTTGCGTGGTGGCCAGAATAGGGCCCTGAGGGCCTCGTCGAGCCTGCCTTCACTTAGGGCGGCCCACGGGCTGCGAAATGGGGCCTTATGGGGCTCATAGAGGCAGTGGCCTCTCAGAACCATATGAACAAATCTAGGAACTATAGGATCTGCAGGGTACGCCATGAAAAGCAATATGGATATTCTTTGTAACTATTAGCCATATCGAGGGCAGATATATGGAAAGTAATGGGGAAAGTAATGAAAGGTAACAGATGCACCAGGAGGGGGCATCACATGTATTTTCTGGATAACTTGAGAAGGAGGGAAGTGTGACAAACAGTGACAAAATCAGGGGAGTGGGAGGTCAGTAATTCACGAGGGGCAGGAAAGGTGTGGGTAAAAAGTGACCAAAAGTAAATTACTAATTGTAGTAATTGATACATAAGGAATGGATGTCAGATGTATTTCTTGAGAACTTGACGAGGGGGAGAGCCGTGACAAACAGTGGTAAAAATCAGGGGAGTGTAGACAGCTGATTCACAAGGGGTTAGAAGGATGTGGATCAAGGGCTTGGGAATGGTCGGTACTCGTCTGTAGCGAAGAAGCTTGTCGCGACTGGGGACCATTGGGAGTTTCCCTGTTACAAGCGGTCACTGTCCAGCGGGCCGCTCTGAGGACGTGTATGGGGCAGGGTTTTTGCCTTCGTGTTAAATTTGGTTCCTTTCCTGCTTGCCGGTAATGGACAACTGGACTTCCGCCCCCCAGAATAGACGGGGCCCCCGTGTGTGTGGGTTATTTAGAAAAAGAAACGAAGATGTTCCTGTATCCCCAGTCGTTTCTTTCTATCTTCCATCTCCCCTCCTGGCTGCTATAGCTGTGTTATGCCCGCCATATTCCGCTTGTCAGCAGAGGAATTCATTTGTGGTCCCTAATATAGTTACCAACTTACCGTGGATCTTCCATGATGCTTTTGTCTGTCACAATGGCAAGTCAGAAAGAAGCTGCTTGTAGCCTTGCAATTGCAATAGCGACAAATGTGTGACAGTAATGCTGCTGAAAATAATGGAATTGCAATGGTGACAACTGGTGTAGCGTGTCTATCAAATGCATTATTATGAGAACTTGTTTTGTCAAAATGGAAAACCATTTACAGACAAGCTGCTGGTAATCGAGCAATTGCAAGGAAGTAAGAGAAAAAAAGAAAGTAAAAAAAAAAAGAAAGAAAGGAACCGACGTGAAAACAAAGCATGACCAAAGAAACAAAAAAAGAAAGAAAGAAAGCGAAGCATGACAACATGTAAAGAGAAGTGGGGAAACTGCTCGACTCGCCAACTTTACCCAGTTTTCCATTGAATGATTGGCTGCATTATGTTCTTATTGTCAGGTCTGTGTGATTCCTGGCACACACTATCCCCTCACACTCTTGGCTACCAGACCCGCACGGGCCCGGTCGCCCGGCCAGGCAGCCGGGCCAGTGCGACTTGGACCCTCTTGCCCGGGTCACCGGGGCGAGTTAAAAAAATAGTCAAAACGTTTTTTTTTTTTTTTTTCCTGATCATGGGGCAGTTGGCACCCTCCGAGAGGGACCAAATCCGGTCTTATTTTCTTTTTTGAGTTAATGTCGTTTTGGAGGGTCGGGGGGGGGGGTAAGGGTTTTGAAAGGGGTTGAAAGGCCTTTAAAGTTTAAATGCTTGAAAGGGGTTGAAAGGCCTTTAAATGGGGCGATATGATTTTCCTTACATTATTTTTATTTTTATTTCAAATTATGTGGAGACTTTGGGAGTGACCCTCAGCCAAAAGTTGTTTGGTTTGCTATTCTGCACAACGTACTGTTTTTCAATTTTTTTTGTTTTTTTTTTGGTTTTTGGTGGGATATGGGCCGGGACCCCGCCCGGCCCAGTTGCTCGGCCGAGCGTCCCGGGCAGGTCCCGTGCCAGCTTTGGGGACCCGGGCGGCACGGCTGGTAGCCCAGCTCACACTGGAATTCAGTGTGGCGCCAACTTAACCCTCTTTTCCACTGGATGATTGGCTGCATTCTGTTCTTTTTGTCAGGTTTGTGTGGTTCGTGGCACAGATTATCCCCTCACACAGGAATTCAGTGTGTCTGGTAACACATATTTTCCAGAGGGTGAGGTAACAGATGAGTCAGGGTCACAGGTGAGGTTGCAAACCTGCATGGATCTTTCCTTGTTTTCTTTTTTCTACTTGTCGGAAGTTTTTTCACTTGTGACCGCTCACTGTTTGCAACCTTATGGGTGTACGGCACTATACGCTGCCCTATAGTCCCTTTGCTGGAACTACAGCCTTCCCCTGAATAGAATGCATATGCGTTGTATTTGAATATACGAGCTGTTTGAATAGAATGCATATGAGTTGTACTGGAATAGAAAGCAGCCTATGCGTTGTATTCGTTTACAACACATGCGTTATATTCGGGGGAAGATGTTAGCCGGTCTTATGTGGTGCTCTTTGACAATCGTGTGTTGTCCAGTTTAGTTAAGGCCATTTGCGCAGTTTTCTTCACACCACGCAGCTGCGCTTCAGGAGAGGTTTCCCCTGTTGTTAAGTTGGAACAAGAAGCCAAAAAGACAGATGGATAAAAAGAGAAAGGAAAGTGACAAAAAAAAGATAGATTCTTTACGATGGCCTGTCGCTTTTAACCACTTGGCCCCTCGCGTACACGCTCAACCTTCAACCCTAAACCCTGAACGGTAAAGCCTTGTTTGCGTGTTCCTTGACTACTGACCTTCTTCACTACGTTCCCACATTGTGAATTCCGTTTTGCATCTTCTCTTCTTCATTTCTTTTCATCACATTGATTGTCATTGTCCTCCCTGTGCAGCGACTGAGTCGTAACAAAAGGTACGAAGAACACAACTACAACTGCTCGAAAGTTACACTAAATTGATAGTATTTCTTGTGAAACGAGACACCAAAGTGTCAAGTCACATTATTCTGCCTGAATTCGACATTCAACTGAATGACGTACGCAAAATTTCTGAAAATCTCAAAACAAAATTCAGACTTTTGCGGAAGTTTTGCCATTGTCCTACCTGTGCAGTGACTGAAATTCACCGAACGGCGAATGGTAACAGGATGAGTGGTTGTTATCCTTTTGCGGAAGTTTTGCCATTGTCCTACTTGCAACAGGGTGACAACCACTCGCATGTCTTTGGACCTGATAGCATTTTTCATCAAATGAGACGCCAAAATATTAATGCCTGAAGCTGGGGTACAAATCCAGGCGCTTGGAGGTCCCTCGGGTGACCCACCTGGGCGGGCTCCCTGGTCGGCCGGGCAGGCCCAGCGCATTTTCATGCTGGGCCGTTTCAGGCCCTGGACAGGTTCAAACGGGACCTCCATAGGACCGCCTAGGCCTGAAAAGATTTCAGGCCTAGATGGACCCCGGCAGGGCTCCCTGGTCGGCCGGCAGGCCCAGCGCATTTTCATGCTGGGCCGTTTCAGGCCCTGGACAGGTTCAAACGGGACCTCCATAGGACCGCCTAGGCCTGAAAAGATTTCAGGCCTAGATGGACCCCGGCAGGCCCATTTCCTCGCGGCCCAATCTGGGTGGCTGATCTCAAAGATCATCGGCCTAGATTGGGCTGCAGTTGTTTGAATACCAGCCCGATAGCCCCCTGGTCGACCCTACCCGCCTGCCAGCCCAACTCGCCCTGCCACCACCATCGAAGCAGCGAGGTGCTTGTGCAGCACCACCTGTGGCACTGTGAGGAAGAGAGAGAGCTCCCTCCTCCTCTTTCCTCCCTCCTCCCTCCTCATCTGTTCCCTCCTCCTCCTCCCTCCTCCTCTGTTCTCTTTCCTCCTCCTCCTTCCTCCTCTTCCTCCTCTTCCTTCCCCTGCTTCCTCTTCTTTTCTCTGCATCCTTCCGCCCTCCTTCCTCCCTCCTCCTCCCTCCTCCGTCCGTCCTTGTCCTCCGTTGTCCTTCCTTCTCTGCCTTCCCCCTTCCTCCTCTCTCCTCCTCCCTCCTCCGTCCGTCCTTGTCCTCCGTTGTCCTTCTTCCTTCTCTGCCTTCCACCTTCCTCCTCTCTCCTCCTCCCTCCTCCTCCCTTCTCCTCCCTCCTTCCTCCTCACAACTTCTCCCATCATGCAACTGCAGCGCACTTCTTCTTTTTTGTTGCCGCGGCCTCGCCTCCCCTCTCGGAAGCCTCCCCTCCTCCCTCCCTCCCCTTCCTCACACCTCCTCCTGTCTCACCATGTGTCACCACTGTCGATTTATGTTTTTAATCATTGCCTCCCCTCCCTCTTCCTCCTCCTTCCTCGTCCTCCTTCCTCCTTCACCCTCCTCCTTTTCCTCCTCCTCCTTCCTTCTCCTGCTTCCTCTCCTCCTTCCTACTTATCCTTCCTCCTTCCTACCGCTCTTTCCTCCCCCTCCTCCCTCGTCCTTCCTTCTCCTTCCTCCTCCTCCTCCTCCTCACACCTCCTGTCACACCAGATGTCAGAGCGGCCCTGCGGCGTTGCTGTCTTCAGAAAGCTTACAGCGACCCCCAGCCATCCAATGCCCCTCCACCCCTTCTCCTCCCAACCACCCGAAACCCCAGGTTCACCTTTTGGCCTTTTAAGGCCGGCTTCTGCATGTTCTCAACGAGTGCAGAATGGCCCTGCAGTCAGGAAAAGAAAAAAAAATCCTGGGCACTGTTCAGGCCGCCCGGCTCTCCTGGGTGGACCCTGGGCCTGCTGCTCTCCCGGGCAAGCCCGACCGGGTGACTTTGTGGCCCAGGGCTGAAGTAGATACTCAGTTGAATTAGGTAGTACACCCTTTGATTTGTCGCTGTCCTACATGTGCAGTGATTGGATGGTAATAAAACTTATTTGCAACATGACTAAAATCTCTCGAAAGTTTTTGAAGTCGATAGCATTTTTCAGCAATCAAGATGCAAAATGTTATACCACCAGTACACCCAGGCCTGGAGGCGCTGCACTGCACGCCAAGCTTTCCCGAACTGCCAGCAGCGCACTTTCTCTCTATTTTGGCTGGTGCCGCCAGTCAGTGTGGTCTAGGAGGCCCGAGCCGCAAAATTTTCGGATTAGGCAACAAACAAAATTACTGCCAGCCTCGGGCCGTGTAAGTCAAACTATTCTGCCTGAGTTAGACATTCAATGGAATGAGGTATGCAGAGCTACTCCAAACAAAATAAAGACTCTGATTCGGGCGAGTAAAACAGAAAGTTATTGTACTTTTGTAATGATTTACTTTGATTTCATCATTGAACAAGTCGATGTCTATTATTGTTTGATTAACTTTGATATGAGAAAAAAGAATTTGGATCCTCAATGTGAATGGACCTCATTGTTTGTGCAAAAAGATCTGTTACTTGCTGCATGATCTTTCAAATAATTTGAGAATATCCTTGAAGATGGAGATAGGGAATAAAGATAGGTTATGTTTGCCTCTTCCTTTCTTTTGCAGGTGCAAATTCCTTCAGAAATGCCTTGCCTGCGCGAACTTGCAGGCTGCTGTGTGCTTTGCAATGACTCATCCCTCCAATATAATCCACAAACAAAAGAAGCAGAAAAGATTGGAGAGTCAACAGAGGCAGCTTTGCGCGTACTTTCTGAAAAGGTGAGTCGTCTATCGAATATCATTATATGGAAGAAGCTCTCGTGTGAAGTAAGATTCTGATTCCAAACAGTGGTTCGCTTGAGGGGCCGGCTGGGCGGCGTCACTGTGCCTATGATTATTTTGGTGTGAATCGTCCAACATCCGACAAGATAAATATGTGTAATAATAGTAAATTAGTAATACTGCAATAACCAATGCCATATGTCTTGTGGAAAAACTGAGGGCCAACTTGGCCGCCCTCAGCCCAGGCCGAAACAGGGGCAAAAGGACCCCACCCGAGGATTCAGGGCCTGGACATGCGGCAGTTGACTTTGGTCAACTGTCGAGATCCCAACAGTCAAAGTCCAAAGGTACCTAGCCCAGGCCGCAGGTCAAGCACACACACTTGTTTGTATGCAGGTGCCCAGACAGCATCAGGTCCAAGGGAAAAGTCTGCAACTGTACAATCCGGGCCTTCAGCTGTGAGTTAATCTGGACGACTGAGGGGAATGCACCGAGGCCAGACAGCCTCGCTGACTGCTATTTAAGGCTGGCCTCGATGGAGTCGAGGCATTCAGTCTTGCTATGCTGCTTTGACGCTGGCTCAACTTTGACTAGACGCTGGCATTATGCTGGCTCGACGCTCGCAAGACACTGGCTATGCACTGGCGATGCGGATGACGGCATGAGGTGGAGGCCGCATGCTGGGGCTTCCTGCATTGTGCGCCAGACTTGCTAATGTGGCATGCTGATGGCTCTACCTCTGGTCTGCATTGCATGCTGACGTGGTGCATTGCATGCTGATGTGGCGCTACCTCTGGTCTACATTGCATGCTGATGTGGCGCTACCTCTGGACTACATTGCGTGCCGATGTGGCGCTACCTCTGGTCTACATTGCATGCTGATGTGGCACTACCTCTGGTCTACATTGCATACTGATGTGGCGCTATCACTGGACTACATTGCATGCTGCTGTGGTGCTGCCTCTGGTTTACAGTGCATGATGATGTGGCGCTGCAACCGGTCTTCATTGATAATGTGGCATATACCACCTATCTCGTCTGCTGACGTGGCACTGGAATCTGCGGAGGAAGAAGATCGGGTACTCGCCGGAGGTTGACGTCGTCACTGTCTACATGAGGTGACTGGTTGCGAGGAGGAGGAAGATCGGGATCTGTGGATGGAGAAGATCGGGTACTCGCCTGAGGTTGACATCGTCACTGGAATCTGCTATGTCTTCATGGTCTTCATGAGATAAAGTGCCACGTGGCACTATTGTGTGTGATCAGGAATATACTTATTATCATTATTGACGTGGAGCGGGAAGAAGCCCGGAGAAGGAGAGGGATCTGAAGGGATTATTATTGGGTGATCTTTCATCTTCTCCTTTGTCTGTTCCCCCTCCACTCTCTCCTTTTGATGGTAATGAGATACTGTTGAAACGGTTTTCACCTGCTAGCAGTAGCGAATGCAGATCCCAGGGCTCGATCCCTAGTTCTGACTTTACCTGTGTACAGTATCGAGTTGACCCCTGAGTGTTTCAACCCGTGACCTGTGTTTTGTTAATTGTTGTTTGTCTGTCGTAGGACTGTGCAGATGTAGGGATTCGATCTGTAGGTCTGTCGAGTAGAGGTCATATCTCTGTAGAGGTCGTAGCTATAGGTCTACTGAAAGGTCAAGGTTGTAGCTGCTACAGTCCTGAAAGGTCGAGGTCGTAGCTGCTACAGTACTCGAAAGGCCAAGTCCACAGACTTCCGGAAGGTTCGGAAGTGGCCTTTCGCAGCTGCCTCACGTTTCAGTCAGAGGCAAGTGGGCAAGTGGTGAGCCCAGCTGCATTACGTCGGCAGTGCGACTGCATTGAGCTGGCAGTGCAAACCCATGCAGTCAGCGGTACCGGTCCAGTCAGTCCCAGTCAGTCAAGCAAGTACCATGAGGGACTGTGCACCATGGGCCGATGGAAAGGGGCAGACCAACGAGTTACAGACGTAAAATCAAGAGGCAGCGCCCAGCCGTTCATTCATTCCTGCGTAAGCCATGCGGAAGCGCTGCCATAGCGACTTGTGCGAGTTGGTCTGCAGTGAGCCCGAGGACGAAGTGGGCGAGAAGGAAGTTAGCCGTAGCGATAGAGTAGCAGCGGCCATAGTGGCCATAGCAGCCATAGCAGTCAATGTATGCGGGTATGCACGAGTGTACAGGGTGTTGCATGTGGGATATCCAGGGTGATCCTGTGTGCGAACAGCAGTGTTGAGTAAGTGACGAACACAGAGTTGTACAGGTGATGTGCCGCCATAGCCGTTTGAAGTGAACTTGTATCTGAGCTGCGTTCTTGGTACTATATCTCGGAGTTCTGAGTGGGCGCTTGACGCCAGTTTGCTGCGCAACCTGTGTGCATGCATGTGAAGTGTGAATGAAAGCGAGTCTGATTACACTGGTATCGGAGTTGGTACCCACTATCCCACGCGCCACAGGGCGCCAAGTTGTAGAGCGCCGTGAAGAGGGAAGTCCACCATAGCTGTGCTGCGGAGAAGTAACGTGTACCTGCGCACAAGACAACCACGAAGAGTGAGTGTGTGTGTGTGTGTGTGTGAGAGAGAGAG